CCCCCCCCAGTGCCTCCGTCCTTTGGCCCCTTTTAGTGCCTGCCTTACTCAGACCACTTGGATTAAGGAATGTGATGGAAAGTGATTGGGAGCGGGATCAAAGAAGTGAGAAGGAGGAAGGGCTCAGAAAAATTATGGAGGAGGGACCTTGTGGTGCGGGGTGGTGACAGGGTCTTTGGGGGCATTGGGCTCTCACCTGTGCCTTACTTTGTTTTTCCCACAGTGTGAGCTTTCAGCACTGGAGGGAATGAAGGCATGTATGACCTATTTTCCTCGGGCTTGTGGCTCTCTCAAAGTAAGTATTCATGGAAATTCCTCTTCCCACCAACATAAGCCTTGTTAGCTATCTTACCTTATAGTCCATTGCTGAGACTTCTGAGCACTATCTTCTGATTGTTCTATCCTCTATCTCCACAGCTGTAATTATACCACCTTGTAGTGTTTCACATGCATCACCTCATTTAATCCTCACAAATGAAGAAATTGAAATTAAATAACTCGCCTAAGATCAATAGAGGTGGGAAAACTATCTGATGCCAAAGCCCAGGTTCTTAACCATGGGCTTCTTCCTCTTTCAGCCCTCCTCCTCTGTACTTCTAGAGTGTTCCTCCTGTTTTTCTACCATTTGATCTTACTTTGTTCCTAAAGCTCGTGTAATTTCCTCCAAGAAGCCTTCCTGATTTATTACTTCCCTGTAACAACTTCTCTAACACGTCTCCTTATATTCCACTCCCTTTGTCACTTCCCCACCCTTTCCATATAGAGAACTGGAATTAGCATCAAATTAATAATTATTTCGGTGTAACTGGTGTGTTTAACTCAGTATTATCAATTACGGGGGAGTTTGCCATTCAAATTATCTTGAAAGTATGATCACAGTCCTATGACCAAATCAAGAAAGCCAAAGAAAGGGTAAGGGAACTGGTATTTATTAGGTACCTATTGTACACATTGTGGGTACAGTGTGCCAGGCACTCTGTTGAGTATCTGAGATGTGTCGTCTCATTTTATCATTATAGTAATTGTGTGGAGTTGGTGTCACCAAACTAACCAGGAAACAGGCCCACAGGTGTCTAACTTAACCCAAGGTTGGTATCTGGTAGTTGTAAAACCAGTTTGAGCCAGATCTGTTTGCCCTTAAAGCCTATGTTTTTTCCCCACTTAATCAAACTCCCTAGAAGCTTTAAAGAACATAGAGAGGATTGGCACATAGATTCAATACTAACACTAGCTCTGATCAATTGTTAGTGGCTTGAGAAGGATTGTGAGCCAGATGCGGAGCTCTGGGTACACATGCTGTGATCTGGTGGTGGTGTCTGCAGTGGCTTTAGTAACTGGTTACTTGCAGTATCTGAAAAGTCCTTGAGTAGATGATACTCCTCAGAGAACATGGAGTCACGTCCTTGTTGATTCTTTATTTTCATGTGAATGCCACTAACGACAGGTAATAGAATCTTTGGGTAGGCAGGGCAAGACTTTTGTCAAGAAGGCATTTGGAGTAACTCATGGATTTTACTGAAGTTTAAAGTTTGGTGGTGTTTTTTACTAAAGTTTTACTAAGTTTAATAAACTTAGTAAAACATTAAATAAATTTAATAAACATTTCTTCTAAAATGTTCTGTAAATTATCAAATTATACAGGCTAGATAGATCTTTGTCCCTGACCCCTCACTGGTCAAAGTTTGTGAGGTGTTACTGTGAATATGTGTTTTGATTTAGCTCATTTTGGGGTTATCTGTATCTCCCTGCGTTCCCCACGAAAGTGGAGAGAGAACTGAGTGTTAACCTGAAGGGTCAAGATTTGAATAGTCAGGGAGACAAGAGCATCAAGTGTTTCCTCTGTTCGTGTCTCTTAATCTTCATTGTGAGTGGTCAGGAGCATTCATCTATAATTTACAACCTTTTGTCAGATGTGTAGTTTTTGAAGTTATGGCCTGCATTTTGAGTATCCTTTCCAAACCAGCAACACTTTCATGTGTTGTTAAAGGGTATGTATGCCCCCTGGCCGGGTGTGGCTCAGCGGTTGAGCGTCGACCTAAGATCCAAGCGATCGGGGTTTGATTCCTGGTCAGGGCACATGCCCGGGTTGCGTGCCTGATCCCCAGTGGGGGCGTGCAGGAGGCAGCCCATCAGTGACTCTCTCATCATTGATGTTTCTATCTCTCTCCCTCCCTCTCCTTTCCTCTCTCTGAAATCAATAAAGATATTAAAAAAAAACAACAGGGTATGTACGCCTTTATGCCTTTAAGAATGATGTGTCATCTGAAGAACTTCTCGCTGTTAAGAATTTTGTCTTTGTTGCTAACATGTCAGATAAGAATCTGTTTTGTGCAAAGGCCCTAGGGGCAGATTGTACTTAAAAAATCTTGGGAAACCGATACTTGCTATTTTAGACTATTTATCTGTTCTCTGTCCCAGAAGCTCCTGAAATCATTAAACAACTATGGTCCTATTCTTATTAGGTGCCCTCCCCCCTTTCACAATCATGGTCAACAGAGCATGATCAACGTCTCTGTCCCCAACATTCCCCACTGCTGTTTCTATCATCTCATATCTGTGAGATTAGTTTTTAGGTGAAAAGTCTCATTCTTCTGGACCGCATTTGCTTTTGCCTTGAAAACAGTTTGTGGGGATGGAATACAGCAAATGCAGGATCTAAAAAGAGAATTGTCAGAAAGATTAAAACAGCACAGTCCTTTGAATTCCTCACAGCCGTGGTTATGCCACAGCAACAAATAATCTGCTGCTTGATTCTCTAGAACTGCCTCCCTGACCTGGCTCAGCTCTTGATTTGTCCTATGTATAGCCCTGGAATTGGCATTCAGGGCTTTTACCATGCTACAAGCCTGCCAGGTCACTTCTACATTAAGAGACCCTACCATTACTGGCATAACAAAGATGTTTAAAGCAATACAGTGGTACCTCAGTTTTTGAGTGTGATCCGTTCTGGAAGACTGTTCGAGTTCTGAGACATTCGAAAACCGAGGGATCAATGGCCGACAGCTGGGCCTCAGGATCTTGCCCTCAGCGGAAGCCGCGGGACATGTTCGACTTCCGAGGTGTGTTCGAAAATCGAAGCATTTCCTTCTGGGTTTATGGCGTTGGTAAACTGAAGTGTTCGTCAGCGGAGATGTTCGAAAACTGAGGTACCACTATAGTTAGCAGGGCTCCACAGGTGAAGATCGTCAATGCAGTCTGGTGTCATGGTTGTGAGAAGGTCTCTTGTTTTGGACCCTGTGATGTTTCTGGGGCATAAAGACAGTTTTCCTGAGGAACAAGGCCCCCAGTGCTGTTGGCAGGGATATATGAATAAACAGTCACCCCAACACATAGAAACCAGCTGCGTATGTCCATTACTATAAGGAGGGTAAAATTATTAGAACAATTCATATTGTAGTTATTAGATACTGAAAGATAATAACTAGAACACCCAGTAAAAGTCAGACATTAGCCACAGGAAGCTACTGCAGCAACCTTTAGAGAAAGCAGCCCTGTGTCCTTTCCCTGACAGTGGCTCCTGTCCATTTTTCCTCTAGTTGATCTCTGGCAATCAGGTTTTCTGTGTTTTGAGTAGAATTCTGTCTCCTGTTTTGAAGGAATGTAACAGACCTGTGACAGAAAAAAATCCCTGAGGGTGAGGTCTCACCCTACCCTATAATTGTCCTTTGCTAGGCACCTGGGGCTTTTTGACCCTGGTGACCTGTACCTGGCCCACCATTCTTGCTCTGCACATGTCTGTCTAACTGCCTATTACATCTACTCCTCAAGGATCTTGGCTCTGAACTCTTTCAGATAAAAGGGGTGCAGTGTCTTTTCTGTAGCTGCTTCATGCTGAAGAGGGATGAAGATTTTCTTCAGAGCTCAGAGATCTTTGCTGTCTGTCAGAGCACCGATGAGGCCTAGGCACAGAGGGCAGTGGTGATGGTCCTAGAGTTGGTTTTCCCTGAGTATGAGTAGGGCTTGTAACTTGGTGGAGACAAACTGTGTTAATACATTTTAATATTATTGGGGAAAAGCTGGAACAACAAGAATTATGACAAATGGTTTGGTGGAGGGAAAAAGAACATTTCAGTTCTAATAATTCCGTTTTGAAACACAATTTTCCTCCCTGAAATCACCCTCATTTTTTTTTTTTAAAGAGCCAAATTAAAACTAATCTATTTACTGTATTATTCAGTTTCATTTTGGCCTGATTGCTTGTATGAACACAGTAAGAATAGCAGTTGATCATAGAGGCTTTTAAAAATCTGCTTTGCTGGAATCTCATGATTGAACTTTAATCAGCCCCTCAGGGCAAAGAATATGAGCCACCTAGTTACCATTAGGCTTGCCTGCAATACCTATAGACGGGTGAATTCCTCAGGTTCTCAAGGTCCCCAATGATGCCTGAGGTTCCTTCCATGCCATCTCTCAGGAAAGCAACCTTCGTTCCTTATGTGGAAAACCTGCCATGAACCACATGATCAAGCACAGTACCAGGCTTTCTCCAAGATGCTCTTATTGGCTTCAGAGTCAATCTTCATTTCTTAAGGCTTTCTGGTGACATCCAGAGCAAGGCCTGTCTCTCTTTTAGACATGATATCCCAGTCAAAGTCTTGGTTAATAAAACCACAATTGGAAACTGGTCTTGCTGAATTCATGCAAAGAAACATATTGCCATGAATCACTTGTTAAGAATTCCCAAATTCCTGAGGGATCAGTAGGGAGGAAAATATATGATTTACTAAATTGCTGTAGAAATGTTTCCTTATATCTTGAGAAACAAAAATATTAAAAATCAGCAATACTTTCAACAAAAGTTACAAAAACTTAATTATTTTTCAGTTCATTTAGTCCCATAACCAATTTTTTGTTTCGATTTTTCTTGCCAGTACTTCTGTAAATCCAGATACTCTATAAAGTTCTAATAATTTTCATCCTGTTCAAAGGGGTTGATCTGAAAATTTATTCTCAGAGATATGTAATTTAAAATAATCTAGAGTCTTTTCTGTGGATCCCTCAGAAGATGTAACATTTTTGAAAATGCATTATAACAAAACAGTGACTATCTCTATATGACAAGAAGAAATTTAAAGTGACACAGTTATGGGTTTGATTACAATGCAGTTGACATGGAATCCTGTCCTTTCTGCAAAAGACAATATTCCAGAATAGCAATTAGAGTTATAAATGAAAGCATATCAGAATTTATAGATTCCTGGAGACTTTTACATCTATTTCAATAATATGCATATATAAATAGTTATTATAAAGTTATTATTTCTTTACTTAACAAAGCTTCCCATGTACCTTAAG